CACCGAATTCCATTACATTTTGTCTGTGCACGTGCACGAGCTCTCAGGGTCAGGTCACCTGCAGCGTCAGCTCCTCTTCAGCTTCGTGGCTGTTTTGTGAGCGGGCCGGCCGGCCTGTGCCTGTTGTAGCTAATTTGCCTCGCCCGTGGCCCGGACGTCGTTTCCGCTTCCTGACCGTAGTCTCGGAGCCGCTGACCAAATAAGTAACCCCACCAGCCCCGCCGCTGAGGTGCTGCGCGAGGCTTCGGCCCACCGCTTCGGGTTACTTCGTCTTTGCGCGCCCCGCTCTGACTGGACTCGCCGCTGGCGCGCTCGCCTGCGGCCGCTGACTAAAAAGTAGCCCCACCAGCATGCTTGGTGACCGGAGGGGTCCCGTGAGGTCTCGCTACGAATTCCATGCAAGGATCACATTGGGGATGGGCGGTCAGGTGGCCCCTGGCCTGCTCGTATCTGGTGTCGGCCTCCACTGGTGACCGCTTGGTTCAGCGTGGTCTCGCTACGCTGCCGTCCTCTTCGGTGCGAGGACTTCGGCAGGTGTGGCTCTTTGCGCCCGTCGGCTGCTCTCTCCTACATGGACTGCGCTTTCGACATGTGCCAAAAATGTACAAACAAGAGGCACTGCCGTTCGCAGTCCTGTCTGTGACGAGGTTGCCCCTCCTCATTCTTGCGCTGACACGGTGCTGTTGTGTCGCCTACGGCACGGACGCCGTCCGGGTGTGCCTGTCGGCCCTGCTCGCATCGGGCCTTGTGCCAACTCACGCCGGGTGATCGACCTCTACGCGTTCATGGTCGCGCCGCCGCGCCATTTTGGCTGCGTACTCGTTGGTCGCCACCGGGGTCTCCACGTCACCGAGTTGGGAGTGTCATTTCAGATTTGTTTCCTATGAGTGGCTGCCCGCGCGCTCACTTTGCTTGCCTCTTTTCTTGCTGCCTAGTCGCGGCCCAGCTAGTGTTTGGACGGCTTTCGACCTGCTTCGCGAGCCCGCAGACCAAAAAATAGCCCCACCAGCCCATTCAGAAACGATGCCCAGAGGAATTGCCTCGATCAGGGAAGTGGGCAGCACGCAGAGGAAGGGTTCCCCAGTGGATGCCTATTGGAGCGTCTTGGGTGCCTCGGAGAGTTTCTTGTGGCCTTTTGGGTGTCTCTTGGGAGCATTTTGGAGGCCTCTTGGGCGCCTGTTGGGGCCTCCTCGGCGCTTCTTGGGGCCCTCTTGAAGCGCTCTTGGGAGCCTTGGGAGCGCTTTTGGGGCCATCTTGGAGGACATCGATCAAACAAGAAGCGAGCATTAGTTAGCGCTGCCCTTCGGGAGCCCAACAGATCGCCTTTTGGGGCGCTTTTGGGGCGCTCTTGGAGCGATCTTAGGCGCTTTCGGGTCCGTTTTAGGGCTCTCTTGAGCCTCTCTTGGAGCCCTTTCGGGCCATCTTGGAGCCATCTTGAGGCCTCGGATGGCCATCGGAAGCGAAGAGGCGAGAAAGTCAAACACACACGCACACACATATATATATATATATATATATATATATGTATATACATACATACATACATACATACATGCATGCATGCATGCATGCATGCATGCACACATACATACATACATACATACATACATACATACATACATACATACATACATACATACATATATATATATATATATATATATGTGTGTGCGTGTGTGTTCGTAAGGTTGTGGCCTCTTCGGGGCCTCCTGGGGGGGTTCTTTGGCCACTTGGAGCCGTCTTGGAGCGGTCTTGGGCCATCTTGGAACATCGTGGGAGATATTCTGAGACATCTTGGGGTATCTTGAGCCATTTTGGAGGTCATCTTGGGCTCTCCCAGGCGCTCTTGGAGTCATCTTAATCAGTGCCCCTCCCCAAAGAGGCCAACACGTGGCATTCTCGCCGGGGCCTCTTGGAGCATCTTGGGTGCCTCTGGGGGGTCTCTTGGGGCCTCTTGGGTGTCTCTTGGGAGCCTCTTGGGGGCATCCTGGGGGCCTATTGGGGCTTCCTGGCCACGGGGCCCTCTTGGGACACCCTTGGGAACCTTGGGGGCCATCTTTGGGCCATCTTGGGTGAGATCGATCAAACAAGAGGGGAGCATTAATTAGCGTCCCCCCATCAGGAGGCCAAAATGGGGCCCAACCCTAGTAATTCAAATGATTTTGGTTTCCTCGCCGAGGCCGTTTTGGACGTTCCGACGACTCGCGGAACCCTTGTCCAGGTCCAGGGGAGGGGGTAGGGGGAGGGGTCAAGACCCCCTCCACGCCCGCAAGCCGTCTCGCTCACTCCCACCCGCCCTCCCAACACATACGTAGCACCCGAGTCTGGCCCGAGCCTGAGCATATTCAGCAGTCGTCTTTGGATGGGCAGCTACTGGGGCCAATCCGCCGCCGCCGCCGCCGCCACCGCCGCCGCCGCCGCCGCCGCCGCCGCCGCCCGCCGCCGCCTGCCGCCGCCGCCGCCGCATGCCGCCGCCGCCGCAGCCGCCGCAGCCGCCGCAGCCGCCGCCGCCACCGCCGCCGCCGCCGCCCCCCGCCGCCAAACCGCCGCTGCAGCCGCTGCCGCCACCGCCACCGCCGCCGCCGCTGCCGCCGCCGCCGCAGCCGCCGCAGCCGCCGCCGCCGCCGCAGCCGCCGCAGCCGCCGCCGCCGCCAAGTGTACTATGGATTGTTTTTGACCGGGATGTTGGGGGGAGGGGGCCGCATCGGGTTGGCTGCGCATGTTCCGAATTTGGAGGCAGAGTGTGGCTTGCATTCTTTTTTGCAAGGAATGGTGGGGGGGTGTCGTCATGGACCCTGGTTGGCCCCCAGTCGCCTGGGGGAGGGGGTGTTTATCAATAGGGAACAGTGATAAACCTTCCCCGAAGTGGAAGAAGGAGGGGTGGAAGAGGAAACTCCCTAAACCACCTACGCCCAGAGGGCTGGTGGGATTCCTCAGTTTTGAGGTTGTGTTTGTTACGAGGTTCCATTGGGCCAAGCAGGGTGTGCGATTGTTGTCGTCGTAGGTGCCGTCAGGTTGGCTCCCTGCGCGTTTCCAGGTTTTGCCGCCTCGGGTGAGGACTGTATCTGGTCGAGGTCGTCGACGCGCTCGGCCGCTGCGCGGCGTGCCTTGGTCTGCCAGGGGACGTGAATATGTTGCGGCGGTTGCTGGCGATGACCGTTTGGTGGGTGACAAGGGTGTCCGCGTTTGGGGAGGTCCGGCTGCGTCGCGGTCGATTGCCTTCGGTCGGTTCGGTTCGGTTTGTTGCCGTGTCGCTGCTGCGTCGCTGTGCCCTTCTAGGCTGCATAAGGCCTGTCGGCTTCGGTATGGCTGTCGATTCGGCCAGTGTTCGGTCGTGCTGCCGCAGTAGACGGCACTGCTTGGAACCAGTGGTCGCGTGAGGATGAGGCTGAGCGCTTGAGCCCGCCCCACTCGGCTGGAGAGGTGCGCGCTCCGAGGGGTCAAGACAAGGCTTATGGGAGCCCCGCCCGCTGCAGCGCGGTCGCGAGGCAGCCCGAACGCGCGGAATTCTGGCGAAGGGGAAGGCGCTCTGGCGCCTGCCGAATATGTAGCACGCCGCCTCGAAGAAGAAATATCTGCATAAGCAGATTCTTGGAGCTCCGCGCGTGTTTCTCGGATCTAAGCTGGAACCCTCTGGCGGCGCCTCCAGTGCCGCCCCTGGCGCGCTCCGCTCGCCAGAGAGGGGGGTCCAGCGCCGCTCCAAGAAGTCCGCGCGGAGCTCCGAAAGTTTGCGCTTACCTATGCAGTTCGTTTTCTCTCTTGCCTCCCTGCGCGTCTGCGCCGCGCGGGCCGATGGGCTGTGGTCGGGGGCGAGGCCCGGCCTGTCAGCCCGCGCTGGGCGCCGCCCGGCTCGGCCTCGGCCCCAGGGTCGTGGGCGGCAGCGGCCGGTCGATCGGGAAGCGTTGGGCGTCTGCTCGTGCTCGCCCTGCACTTCAAGAGCTCGGACTCCAGCACGCACACGCAGACTTCCATGGCCTGCGTGTGGTTCCCTCGCGCTCGCCCTCCTGGCTTCTTTGGCCGCCTCGCGCCTCGGCGCGTTCTCTTCTCCTTGTGCCTCATTGTGTTTCGGCGCGCCACGCCGCTGCTTGACCGCCGTCTGATCCTTTTGCGACCGCTGACTAAAATATCCAGCTCGGCCTGAGCGCCAAGGGCTTGGGCGGCGGCGCCTTCCCGAGCTTGCCTCCAGCCAAGCCTCCCATCCTCGCCCTATGCGAAATACGTTCGCAGCATGCTTTCAGCTTTCTTGACCTCGTCGCGCCGCATTCACAAGCCGTACGCAGCGCAAATACATAGCATAAGAGTGCATGATCAATATGATCAGGCTCCCGCATGTGTTGTGTGACGGAATCTGCGCTGTCACGGTTTCCGCCCTTGTGCTTGTCACGGGATCGGTGTTGCGTTGAGGAGCGCAACGCATCAGCCATGGCGTCGCCGAGAGAATTCCAGGCCCCCAGCCGAGAGAACCGATGGATCTGGGCGACGGCAATTTCGGTCTCAAGTTCGTATGTCTGGCCAAGCGTTCCTCCAGGTAACGGTCCGGACGGGCTGCGCGTCCGCCGAGAGTTTGCCAGAGAACGTGCAAGCGAGGCCGCAAGTTCGTCGTGCCGGCAAGGCCAGAGTTTGTCCGCCCATGGGTCGTCCTGGTGTTTCGCCTTAAGAGGCGAGCGTGGCATTGGTCAACGACCTTCGACTTGTATATGAGGTGAGCGTGGCGCCAGTCAGGTGCCTTCTTACGTTGAGCAGGAATCTCGTGCGATGTGAGCGTGGCACTAATCACTGTTGCGCGAGCGAAACGGAGCGGGCACAGCTTCCTTTCCCGTTTAGGTTCAAGAATCTCGTGCCTCGAAGCGCGGGAAAACGCAAAACACATCGTCAGCCCCCCGACGCCTGGCACTGGGGGCTTTCACAACGTTCCTCTCTTCCTCCTCTCCCTCCTCCTCCCCCTCCTCTCAGACTGTTCCCAAAGCCGGTATCGCTCCTTCTTCTCCCCATGGGCCCAG